AGTAACGCTTTCTTTCAAGTATCAGTGGCCAAAGCAAAACAGAAACATTTCAAAAGAAGTTAGTGATCTACCAGCTCATAGGCATCATAAGAAAGAGCAGCATAGGAAACATCCAAATGATAGTATATCACCTGCTTGAACTGTACAGCAGCTCTTTTAACTGCAGAGTGACTCCATTATCTGTTCCCCACCTACTCCCACTCTATGCGGTACTTTCCACGCTGTATTTCAGCATGCAGGAATGTGACTACAGGGTAGGGTTTCCTTCTGAAACGCTGCAGTCTTAACAGGAACAACTTATCAAATCCTACGGTTCTCTCCTACATTATTATTATCTTTTGACTGACGGATAAATTGAGAGAGAAGATTCGATACTCCATCTGGTGTGACACAACAGGCTTGCGACAGATCTGAAAACAGAATCCAAAATCCTGAAGAAAAGCCTATAGCGAAACACTGCCCATTCACCCTCTTTCTTTGCTTGAAAGCCATCTCTTCCCTGCTCTCCTCACCACAGCTGTGAAGCAATCAACTCCTAACGCTTAACCCAACTAGCAGGCACCCAGCTGCAGCGTTGCACACTGCTCCAAACTGAAATCATATCTGTGAGGCAATAACACGATATAATAATAATCTAGAGAAAGCAATAAGGAAGTGAGGTCACTTCCATCTCTGTGGTGATATCTGCAACTAATATTCCCTGCTACTGTATTAACAGCAGCTGGAATATGAACATTTGTATTTTATACTACTTCGGTATGAATTGTACCGGCTTTTTTTTCCCCCTTTTTTTTCAGAAAACAGGGCAACACCCCACCTACCGGCTTGCCCAGCCACTTTTTCAGACAGAAACGGGGCAATCACCAGCGCTCTCTGATCTGGTTTTACTGACATGTGTGGTAGCGAAGTGGCAATAAGGAATAATTGCAGGGTGATAGCGATCAGCGCACTACTGCACAAACTCACAATGAGCCTAAGCAGAGAGGAATATGCAAATAAGCTACACCCTGTCCTGTCCTATAACTGATCTTGAAGTTATTGCTTTCTATCCTGCATTTATAATACAAACCCCCACACTAACACCGATTCCTACGCCCAGACAAAGAGCACCCAGCTACAGGCTAGCTCTACTAAAGCTCTGAAGGTAGCTACAGCTAAAGGACAAAAAGTAAATGAGAGTTCAATATACAGTGCTCAGTCTTAATTTAACTTACAGTGACACAACCCCAAGAGAGATGAGGATCAAGTATGAACCAGATCACAGAATTTGCCAAGGTTCCCTCCCACAATAATTCAGCAAGCTGGCCCATGGAAAAGAAAGGATTTGACTTTTTTCTCTGCCTCACCTCCCTAGACCCTTTGCCTCTGAATTCTGAAGACAGAGGACTTCCCAAAAGAGCAGGAACTGTGCAGGAGATAAGGAGTCATGATCACTTCCAGAGCCCAGGACAGGCAAACAAAGAAGATGCCCAATCCTCAACCATCATTATTGGCTCCTTCATCAGCAGGTCTGATAAGCACAGAGCTCAGCTGCCGGAAACAAAAGCAAATGGCTGGGCTGTGTTCCTGCGTGCATCTGGTTTTAGCTCTCAGCAGCTGGTTTGCTTTCTTTGGTTAAAAAAAACACCAACAAACAAATGACCAAAACGTAGGCAGAAAGGAAGAGGTTTAAAAGTCCTCTCAGCTGTCTATAATGGGGAGAAAAGTGAGCAACAACTTACAGTATGAGAAGGTTCCTGTGATTATTTGTTAATTATTTGCTATTACCCTAATTGCTGGTAAAAAAAACATGTGACTAGAGCAGCACGGTTCATAACAGACTGAGGCGCCAGCAGCGCTAACAAGTGTGCAAAAACCCAAGGGATGTACTAGCTCTCACATCTGTAGCTGCCCCTGCCCTTGTGCCATGCCTGGCCGACAAAGAGCTCCCAGGGATGAGAGCAGGGAGTGACCCCATTCCCAGCCAAAAAGATTCTATCCCCTAAAAACTTCCAAACACAGGAAAGCCTGATCGTCCTTATCTTTTGAAACTCCCAAGATACAGCCTAATGGGCCTTGTTCCTGGAGTTTTATATAGTCAGCCTGCAGCTTACAGTTTGACACAGTGCTGAGGCAGGCAGAGAGGACCAGCTATCACCTCTCTGGCAGGCATCACAGTGACCTTAATCAGCATTTTGAGGAACTTCAGGTGCCCCCCTCACTAACGCTCACACAGTGCTCTCGGGAAATACCGCACAGGAGACGGCACTCGTGTACAGCGCTGCCAGGGCACCCGAGACCTCCTAAGAGCGCCGAGTAACTTCTGGTACTGGAGGTGCTGCTGTGGCACCTGGGCAGGGTAATGCTGTCTGTACCCCCGCTGCATGACCCACAGCGCTGTAATACACATCCCACGCAGTTCAAACAGCCCCAGTGAGGCAGCCTGATTTTAACCTGCAGCCAGCTCAGGTACGCACACCTCACTAGCTTTTCCTACTAGGGTATGATCGCTTTATTAAGTAGTAGAATTTATTTTATTCATGCAGGTGATCTATCAAAATTATACACATTTATTGCAAAAGAGACTAAAGAAAGTAAAGCTGCTTTTTCAGCCTCAGCCCCTCTGGATGTGGGAACCCACCATGCTTGCCTAGACTTCATCTTCTGCTACTGCATCACTTGTTTTCTGGATCCTGTTCCCTCTTGTGCCCTCCCCTCACCATCTGCTTGTATCAAACAGATTAATTTGAAGATGAGAGCAGTTACACAGTAAACTTTGCTTGTTCCCTTTTTCCAGAATCAGGAAGCTGAGGTTTTCAACCCCAGGAGAAGGACCTGAAAATATTCACTAAAGGGAAGGTATTTTCTCAGGTGGGACAGGGATGGGGAATGTCAGAGGAGCAGAGCAGATGGAAGAACAGCGAAGTGGGAGGCTGCAAGGGGGCCAAAGCTGTTATCTGGCCGTTTCAGAGGGGCACGACTGTGCTGGAGGCCCCGCAGGGAAAACATGTTCACTTGCAAGTTCTTCCCGGTGCCTGCAGAAAGGCTGTCTGGAGCGTAAGCGAGAGCTAAGTTCACTCGAATCCAGTGAAAGAACCCCAGACATTTTGTGTTGTATTTTAGAACGTATAAAAGAGACTGCTCATGCAATTCTGTTCCATTCACAGGGCTTTTTTCCCTCCTTACGCTCCGCTCCAAATTTAGAGGACTGGCACAGAACCCCCGCGCCCACGGCTGCGCCAGCCCCGTGAGGTAAAGCGGGGGCAGCACGGCAGGAGCGGGCGGGGCGCCGGGGGGGGGC